CCAGCAAGTTGTAATGCATACTGTCTTCTCTAGCTCATTTCTATTCACAGTTTCTCTGCACCTTTTTGCTGCTTCCTAATATTCTACTCAACTATTTTCAAGGACATCAAAGGTGATGGTGCTACTCAACAAAGAACAATGCCTACAGACCCTTCTGCATTATACGGAGCAGCCATGCTGCAATCAAAATCTGGATTAGCCGCTTCTGGTGAGTAACATCCTGAGATGATATAAGTACTGCTGCTCATTGTGTCTCTTGATGTAGAAAAACACATGGTACTGATGGAAGACCCATTATGTGTTCATACCGGGTGTCCTTGTGAAAATTGCATCATGAGTTCTATTGTTTTTACCCATTATTACCTTTTCGGCTTGCTGTGGCTAGTACTATCATATTCATACTCGAGTGTTTGTTGATTTAGATGTGAGCATACAGCTAGTTAGCTTGCACATTAAACTCACGACAAACACCCTGAAATTAAATTGACTGAGATTTGTAGAACCATATGACAAACAATGAAAATAATTTCAGTAAATGGCCGAAGGTGTTTTTTCTGATCCATCTTCCTCCACTTAGGGCTAAATCAAGGAGTTGGGAGTGTGCCACTGAAAGGCTGGCCCCTAACAGTGAGTTTGCTGACATCTCTTTACTCTTCTTTACTTTTCTTATTGAAAGCTCATCTGTTTTTGGTGTTGGCTGAAGGTCCCAGGTATCGATCAACTCCGGTCAACTTTAGGAGCACAGAAGCAGTTGATGACATCTCCAAACCAATTTCAAATTTTATCACCTCAACAGCAAATGATGGCTCAAGCACAAACACAGAATGAGCTTGCTAGAATGGGTTCTCCAGCTCATTCTGGTTCACCAAAGGTTCGGCCAGATGAACACGAGTATATGATGAAGGTCAGTATACAATTGGTTCTGAGAAACTTGATACATGTCAAGTCCATTATAAAGCTGACAATTCTAACGAACTATAGTTCACTATCAATCAAATTACATTGTTCTACAAATATGTTCACTGTTTAAATAAAATGTTCTATATTTTCTGGAAAGATGTTCTGCATTTTACTGGTACTTTCTTTCCACAGTTTTTCTGCTTGGGAATAGTATGGATGATTCTATAATTTCACTTTTATGCCTTCCTATGGCACCCTATGCATGTTATGATTGACTATTATACAATATTTGCTATCTGTTAGTTGAAGATGGCCCAGATGCAGCAGTCCTCGGGTCACCGGATGATGGAATTGCAACAACAGCAGCAGCACCACCACCAGCAACAGCAGCAACAACATCAACAGCAACAACAGCAACAGCAACAGCAGCAGCAGCAGCAACAACAGCAGCAGCAGCAGCAGGTAGTCTGAGTAATTACCTTGAGATGTTTTTTAAGTTTTCTAGCTCCATACGTGTGATACCTAAGCGTGTCCATTATTCTTGATATCCAGAATATTAGAAAGCGGAAGCCGACTTCTTCTGGGGCAGCTAATAGTACCGGCACAGGAAATACCGTTGGGCATTCTCCACCCTCAACTCCATCAACTCATACTCCTGGTGGTGGAATACCAGTAGCTAGCAACGTGAACATTGCGCAAAAAAGTTCAATGGTTTGTGGCGCGGATGGAACAAGTGGATTTGCTTCATCCTCTAATCAGATGGTACCACTATTATGCGTATACTGCTCTGCTGTTTCAAATTTTGGTTGTAAGTTTGTTGTGCTCAAACAACTTTTGTTACTGACAGGATAATTTGGATAGTTTCGTTGATTTTGAAGATAACGTCGATTCATTTTTGTCAAATGATGATGGGGATGGTCGAGACATATTCGCTGCATTGAAGAAAGGGCCCTCGGAGCAGGAGTCCCTGAAAAGTAAATATTTTAAGCTTTTGAGCTGTGCCGCAAACTTCAGCCCTGAAAAAGTATAATCATTATAAACCGTTCATTCTTTTGTAGGTCTTTCTTTGAGTGAGGTTGCTAATAACCGTGCAAGCAACAACAAGGTTGTTTGCTGTCACTTCTCTACAGACGGAAAGTTACTTGCTAGCGCCGGTCATGAGAAAAAGGTAAGCTGTGTAAACTCACAAGTAGATGCGAGTTAACAATTTATCTTGTAAATTCCTTCCTTGTGCCAGAGTGTTCAAATCATTAAAAATCAGTTTTCTTCTTTTAAGAATATTAGGATTTTATAAGTAGAATTTACCTTTAATATTGGCACAAGATTTCATCACTGTTAAAAGTACCTGTTATTGCTAACTCCAGTCACGATTTTTTTCAGTAATAAAATATTTATCTCATATTTCTTCTGCCGTACCGTACACTGGCACCTCCATCTTATTCTGTTTATCGCTGGAGATGCAATATTACCCTTTCACCCACCTTGACCTGCAATGTTGACATGTAATTTTGTTATTGCTTTGCGCCTCTGATAGAAAATTAGGCCATTCTAAAGCAGTTTATATTTTCTTATATGTGATGTTTCTATGGTACTGTAGGTCTTCCTCTGGAATATGGACAATTTTAGCATGGATACTAAACCAGAAGAACATACAAACTTTATAACAGACATAAGATTCAGACCGAATTCGACTCAGTTGGCTACTTCATCTTCTGATGGAACTGTTCGACTATGGAATGCAGCCGAGGTATTTTCTTCTACTTTCTTTTATATGTGTTTCTCATTAGTAATTCTTACTTTCCTTATTTGCTGCAAGTTCCGGCCTTTTGGTGCTTTTCACTGCCTACCATTGACACTGAAATTTAAACTTTTGCGCTTTGATTGTGGCAAGAGATCACTGCAAACTTGAGTTACAAACTCCATAGAAGGGGGATACCATAGAAGGTCTTTATAGAGGAAGTGTAAATCATGCTCTCCTATTTGTTAGTGTAAAAGGGGAACACCTTTGTCTCTTTTTCAGTAAGCGCCAAGCTTTTGTAACTCCATGGAACACTTATATCTTAAATGCAAAAATCTCAACTGAATATCTAAGACTTACTGGTACCTTTAATTGCAATGTTTGATTATTCAAAGCATGTGGGTACTTGCTAGATGTAAACTATATTCTGCAATCTGAAATAATATTGTGCCAGGACATCATTTGTCGTGGTTGTCCAAGAACATTTACTTGTGGCATAAGCTACTATACAGGGCCCTCAGGCTGTCTAACCAATTTAAATTCATTGGGTAGAAGCTGATCTTAAGGTAAAGCGGTCTAGTACTGTTCATGATTATGGAGTCCAGCCGGTTGACACAACTGTTCAAGTTTAGGAATCCAGACTCCAGTAATCAAATTGCAAGTCAAGTACCGTTCATGATTATGGAGTCTAATGGGTTAAGGCTGATCAGAAGTTAAAGTGGTCTGTTCTTTGGGCCAGACAGAAATTGATGATGGATTTAGTTTGATTTGTTTATTACAGAGCGGCCCAGTAACCCTAGTTCTTTTGCTGTCTGTCGTTTTTTGATACACATGATTGTTGATTGGACGCAGACAGGTTTAGTCAGATTGAGCTTGAACATAACATATATGTTTAGTATACAGTTGGCTGATCCTAATTGTAGGGAACCAAACTTCACGCATTAATTCGCTAATCATGTGCACATATTGATGATGTGACTGATTTTTTATGGACCTATGTTTCACTTCACCATGTTAGTATTGACTGCCAGATACCTAAATCCATTATTTTCTTCATTTTGCAGCGAACCGGCGCATTGCAAATTTTTCTTGGGCATTCCTCCCATGTAACATCGGTAGATTTTCACCCGAAATTGACAGAGATTCTATGCTCGTGTGACGACAATGGAGAGATCCGGTTCTGGACAGTTGGTCAAAATGCGGCTTCACGCGTGTCCAGGGTTTGTCTCTAGCGCATGACGTTTGTAGATGTTTTGCAGCCACACATTTCAGTGACAATAATAATAATAATACTTGAATTGTACATGAATGGATACAGGTGAAACAGGGCGGTACTGGTAGGGTGAGGTTTCAGCCTCGGATCGGAAAGCTCCTTGCGGTGGCAGCAGGAAACACGGTGAACATGATTGATATCGACACGGACACGAGTTTACATTCGCAGGCAAAGGTAATCAAGAATTGCACGGCGGTCGTTTGTGCAACGTGAGGAGAGGAGGTAGTTGTTCACCATTGAATTATTTTTAAAATTATTTAGGTTCACACTAGCGAGGTAAACTGCATCTGCTGGGACGAAACGGGCGAGTATTTGGCGTCGGCGAGCCAGGACAGCGTGAAGGTGTGGTCGGTGGCGTCAGGGCAGTGCATCCACGAGCTGAGGTCGCACGGGAACCAGTACCAGTCATGCATATTCCATCCGAGATACCCGAAAGTTTTGATCGTTGGTGGTTACCAGGTAAGCAAGCATTGACATGGTTGCTGCAAATTCTGAATAATAATAATAATAATAATAATAAGGTGGTGTATAGCACAAGAGAGGCAAACATGTGATGCGATGTGATAATGCAGACGGTGGAGCTGTGGAGCGTGGCGGATAACCAGAGGAACGTGGTGCCGGCGCACGAGGGGCTGATTGCGGCGCTGGCGCACTCCCCGCTGACGGGGTCGATTGCGTCGGCGAGCCACGACAGATGGGTGAAGCTGTGGAAGTAGGAGATTGGTTGGTTGTAAAGACGAAGCTTGTGGGGGGAGAGGTTGGAAGTGAAGCACAAGGCAGCAAGCAAATACATGCATGCTAGTAACTACTTATTTTGTGTAATTAAACCGTCCATCAATATTAATTTTATTAGTGGAAAGAAGCGTGCTATTTAATTAATTTTGTTTTTAAATTTAGTGGGAGAGAGAATTGTTGAAAGAGAATGCAGTAAAAGTAAGCAATGGCTGCAAATATGATGAATTTTCATCCATCCATCCATCCATTAGACATACCCGCAGAGAGAAGGCCTACCACATTCGTCAGTCATCCATATGCTTGCTTGTTGCAACCAATCTATGGATAGTGCTTAACTAGTTGCCTAGTAATCTCTTAATCATCATCCGATGATTCTGAGGAAGATGCTGCCGGTGACGGCGCGGGGCTGAAGGCGATGCCGCCGGCTCCTCGGAGGGGATGGACAAGGTCCGGCAGCGGCGGTGGCTTGGGGAGATCGTCGGGGTTGGGGTGGTCCGGCGGGATGCCGTTGTCGATGCTCATGATGCCGATGCCGCCGGCCCCCGCGCAGGCGCTGGCGCACGACATGTGGCACACCACCACCCACCCGGTGCACCCCTCCAGGCACGTGTCCCGGCACTTGTGGGCGTCCCCCAGCTGCGCCCTCGCCGGAGACGGCCGGCCAAGCAGCGCCAGTAGCAACACCAGCAACGCGCCCGTCATGCTCCTCCCGCAACCCCTGCCGCTGGTCGCCGTCGTCGTCGTCGTTGGCATGTGGTTCGATTTGGTGTTTGCCGGCGAGCTAGCTCCGTCCGCCTGCTGCTTATATATGCATGCGTTGCCTTGCCTTGCCTTGTTTATTTGGGGACAGGTGATGGAGAGGATGAATTCATGAGCTCCGTAACGTCCGGGCGTTCACCAAATGAACCAGTAAATATTGGGAGGGAAGAGTGCATCAATTAGCATGCGTTAGTTATGCCGGTATATGCTATTCCCTACCTACCTAAATAGATTTGTAAAGCTTTTTGAGACCCTGTTTGGCACCTGGATTTTTAATAAATATGACCGTGTGCATCACATCAAAAGATGCAGAGGCCGGGGTATTCCTCCTTTTCGAAAAAACCCTAAATAGCCAACCCAGCTCAGCTGCAAAATTCACTAGATTTTCTTCTTTCAACACCTGCAAAATTCAGTTCGCTAAGCTACAGGTCACTCCATCCTGAACTAGTAGCTAGGAACTAACTTTCAACTGTCACTTTCCTACGTGGGGCTGCATGCATGCATGCTAATTCTATCATTTTGTATGTGTACTTGCGAGCTACCATTGCATACAAATATATGCATAATTCAGTTGGTACTGATGATGACAAGTTAACATGCATGATCGATGCATATCTTTGCAGTAGCTTAGAGTTCTCTACCTACACGACACAAGGGCCCAGTCCACTCCAGGAAAGCGCAGCATTTGAAATTGATCCTTCAACCATACACATCATGCCCATTCATGCTTTTCCCTTCTCCCGCTAACCCCTCTGGAACGAAGGGAAATCGTAACAAAAATAATAATAAATGTACGATTAAATTCCTACAGAGAAAAAACTCCTAGCTGCCTTTTTGGAATCTGCCTCCCACCGAAAAAATTCCTACAGAGAGGACCCAAACCTGGATAAATCTGTCTCATGTTTCCTCTCTGGGCTTTCCGGCTAGTCTGAGGGGTCTGCCAGAATCCACACCGACACAATTCCTGCATTTTTTAACCAACATGTGGTTGGATGGTTAGAAGGGCCGTGATACCTCCAGCCATCAGGGATCAAACCCTAGGTTTGATACTTTGGTGTCTCGTAAAGGTGGAATATTCTTTCAGTGGGAGATGATATTCATGTCGATAGCAAAACACTTGTGGTGACTTCGTCAATCGCAAGACTCGCTGGCTTAGTCTTCGAATGTGCATGCGTTCATAGGGGTCAGTGTATGTTTGTGTTTGTGAGCGTCCGCGTCGGTATTGTGTTCCGTAAAAAAAAATTGCCAGCCTCCAAGCAGAGCCTATAAAATCAAAAGGCTTTGCAACTCAATTGCATAGATAACCCATCAAGAGAGCTCTTAGCAGGAAAACCGAGCAAGACACTAAATATGGATAGCTAACTAACACCTGTAGGAGTATCATAGTGTCATCTTATTTGTTGATTTGTGTAGAATCTCAATATGAAGCTATGTACAAGATTCATTTGGCAGTATATTTTCTCAATTTTGCACTATGATACTGTATCATAGCATAACACTACTACTGCCACATCCATCACATCATTAATTATAGTGGCACATACAATCTTTTCCTTAGGTGGCACTGCATGATATAATCGCACTGTGAGCGTTCTTGCTAGTCAACTATCAGCTGGCAATATAAGTAGTAGTACATCGCGATACCCCGCAAAAAAAGGTACATTGTGATAAACAAGGAATAATTGATGCAAGCAAGCAAGCATGCATGACATTGCTTTTAGAGTTATTGTGGATGGATCGGATTATTAGTGCAATTAGTGATTGTATAAGCCATGCTTCTATTTGAGTAGCTAGGCGCCTAAACAAAAATGTGCAAGGAATCAATCAAATGGCAGGTCTGATGCACGGCATAAAACATTGTTTGCTTTCTTCACCAACCAGTTAACCAATCAATCAATCAACCGCTGGACTAGAATTAGATGCCATCCAATCAAATTCATGTAATCAATTAGGAGAAGAGAAGAGAAGAGGAGGCACTAACACAAGGCAGGCAACACTCCTCTCAATGGTTCGTACAGTTCTAGTATCTTGTTTAATTAGTATGTAACACTGTTCTCTAAATGGTTTGTACAATTGTGGTGTCTTGTTTAATTAAGATAGAATCTCATCTTGTAACCAAGTTAGCAAGCTAGTAATTTATAAGACTCTCACGGTGGAGCACTGAGAGACTACATACAGTGGTTGATTCCCAAATAAAAGTTAGAAAATAAAAAATAAAATTAGCAAACGGCCTCACTACCCTAGGCCCTAGCTAGAATTAATTGCACGATCTCATGGTCTTAGGAATAGATACTTGACATGAAGAAAGCTATAACAATAAACTGATACAATCAATTGCTAAGCTTACGGTTGGGTCTTGTCCATCACACCATTTTCCTAATGATGTGATCCCGTTATCAAATGACAACTCATGTCTATGGTTAGGAAACCTTAACCATCTTTGATCAACGAGCTAGTCTAGTAGAGGCACACTAGGGACATAGTACTTGTTTATGTATTCACACATGTATTTAAGTTTTCGGTCAATACGATTCTAGCATGAATAATGAACCTTTATCATGAATAAGAAAATATGATAATAACCAATTTGTTATTGTCTCTAGGGCATATTTCCAACAGTCTCTCACTTGCACTAGAGTCAATGATCTAGTTTACATAGTTATGAATCTAACACCCATGGAGTCTTGGTGCTGATCATGTTTCGCCCGTGGAAGAGGTTTAGTCAACGGGTCTGCCACATTCAGATCCGTATGTACTTTGCAAAGTTCTATGTCTCCATCCTTAACATAATTACGAATGGAGTTGAAACGATGCTTGATGTGCTTGGTTCTCTTGTGAAATCTGGGCTCCTTGGCAATGGCAATAGCTCCATGTTGTCACAAAAAATAATCATTGGATAGCTTACTAAATATGCATAGCTGACTAACACTTGCAAAGTATATACTAAGACCTCTCATAGCATTATACTCCCTGCGTCCCAAAATAAGTGTCTCAACTTTAGACACTTATTTTGGGATGGATGGAGTACTTAGTACTATCATAGAATTTATAGAATCGCAATATGAAGTTGTGTACATGATTTGTTTGGCAGTATATTTTATCGGTTTTGCACTATGATATTTGTATCATAGCATGATACTACTACTAGTGCCACCCATCACATCATTAATTATAGTGGCACATAATTTATTCCTTAGGTGGCACTGCATGTTATAATTGCGCTGTGAGCTTTCTTGCTACTAGTCAACTATCAGCTGGCTATAGTACATTGCGATAAACAAGGAATAATTGATGCAAGCAAGCAAGCATGCATGCCATTGCTTTTAGAGTAATTGTGGGTGGATCGGATGATGGCAATTAGTGATTGTATAACACGCGTCTATTTGAGTGAGCCTAAAAATTTGCATGAAGTACAGAATGAATCAAATGGCTAGGTAGCAGGTGTGATGCATGCACGGCATAAGCTATCGTTTGATTTCTTCACCAACCAATTAACCAATCAATCAATCAACCGCCGGATTAGAGTTAGATGCCATCCCATCAAACGTATCTATTTTTTTTAAAACCCCTCCCATATATGAATTAATTTAAAATGTTCATGCAATCATCCGTTACAATCAAATGTATCTAATTAGTTAGGAGAATAGAAGAGACACTAACACAAGGCAGGCAACACTGTCCTCTCAATGGTTTGTACAATTGTAGTATCTTGTTTAATTAGGATGTAAGACTGTTCTGTCAATGGTTTGTACAATTGTGGTATCTTGTTTAATTAAGATAGAATCTCATCTTGTAACCAAGTTAGCAAGCTAGTAATTTATAAGACTCTCACGGTGGAGCACTGAGAGACTACACACAGTGGTTGATTCCCAAATAAAAGTTAGCAAATAAAAATGAAAATATCAAATGGCCTCACTAGCCTAGGTCTCTAGCTAGAATTAATTAAGCAAGCAATTAGTTACAAATAGAGCCACTGACGGAGCCAGCCAGCCAGCCAACAATTAGCAAGTGACAGCAAAAAAAAACACAAGCTCAAAAAGAGGTGGGGCACGCGCACGCGCACAGAAGAAAGAAGAAGAAGAAGGAGAAGAAGATAAATACGGAGGAGGAGGATGGCAACCACCGCCTCATCCTCCATGATTTGATTTGACATGATCATCATCTTCATCATCATCACTTGACCCATCAAGCTAACAAGAATTAATTAGCCTCACAACTTGGCATCATAATTGGTAGAGTATCTAATACTTGGTTACTGCAGATGATATACATACCAGCAGTTAAGGTTCAGACCTCACATGGGGTGGGTGTCAAAGGAGCGGCTCATTGTTTAACTTAATTAATTAGCCTTCCTAAATGAGTGAATAAAGTAGACCCAAGTAAACCAGAATTTGAGATCAGAGTGTCATGATCCCTTGCAGTGGCAACCATAGATCTGACTGTTACATCAGCAAGCAAATCCACATCTGCCTGCAAAGAATATACTAGTCCAGCATCTACCACCACCTATCTAGAGTAGCTGTCAATCAAGACCAAACCACTCAACCAAATTAAAGACAGCCATCAAGCAAAGCAAAGCAGAGGAAACTTCTTCCTGGGCTCTCCCTCTCTCTCCCTTAATCTTAATCTCACCAACTTATAATCAGCTAACCAGCCGAAATGACCAACATAACCTCCACCCTCCCTGGTAATCTGGTATACTAATATTAGTAGTAGTAGTAGTAGTATGCTTGTATGCCATGCCACATGCTCCTCCTCATACTACAGCTACCTCATTTATTATTTTGTCTGTCACTCTGACTGAGGTAATTCCATTCCCAGGCTGTCTAGACTACTAGCCAGGGGAATCCAATGCCATCTTAGGTTGTTGGCAGGCAGCTGATCCAAAAACCATAAATAAGCAAATAAATGATTTTTTAATCTCACAATAATGGAGTGAAGTACCTTCAAATCCTAATAAACCCACCGAAAAATCACAATTGGATTTGTTTCCACACTCTGCTCTGGGTCTAGATGGAGCAAAGCAGTTAGGAGAAGCTTTGAGTGTGTTCACTCTCAGCTGCTACAGCTTAGAGCAACTCCAACGGGCTGACCCAAACGGACGGCGTTTTTTGTCAGTTTTTTGTCCATTTGAGTCGGCCGGCCGCCCGCCCGCCGCCTGTCCTCTTTTAGTTTTGGGTCGGCAGTGCGTCCAACAGGCCGACCCATTTCATGACCGTGCGCGTTTTAGATCATGCCAGCGGCCATGCAGTCGTCCTGGTTTTGACGCTCCAGCGCGCGGGAAAGGTTCGCGCGCGCAGGGGAAAGCGGCCTAGCGCGCGCTGGTTTTGGCGCTCCAGCGCGCGGGGGAAAGCGGCTTAGCGCGCGCTGGTTTTGGTGCTCCAGCGCGCAGGAAAGGTTCGCGCGCGCCGCAGCCGGCGCTCGTTATAAGAAGGCGCTCCCTCCACACTCTGTCCGCCGCCCACTCGTCTCGCCCCCTCTCATTAGCCTCGCCGCCTCTGCGCCACCATGTCGATCCGCCGCCTGGGCGCTTTGGATTTTCGCGGAGTCCGCGAGCGCCGCTCCGGCGCCTTCTCCTTCGAGATCTGGTTTCGTAAGAAACGTCTCATCCTCGGCACCTTCGACACCGCAGAGGAGGCGGCCCGCGCGCACGACGTGGCGGCGTGGCGCCTCCTGAGGCCTCGTCGGGATATGAATTTTCCCGACGTGTCGAGCCAGCGGGCGCAGGATCTGGCGCCTCTCCCGCGACTTTTCACCGACGAGGATCGTCGTGTCCACCGGAGGCGGCAGTGTCGCCTCGCCATCGCCGAGATGGACGTGGAAGCCATGGTGGTGTGGCGTGAACGCTTCCCGCAGGACATCGTCGACGAGCGCCAGTTCTACAAACAAAAGAGGTTGAAGAGGGACGCGAGGAGGACGGAGCGAGCCGCTTATCGGGAGGACAAGCGTTCGCGGAAGCAGGCCGCTCAATTGAAACTGAAGATACGAGAAACGTCGGGTTGGGACTTTGAAGACAAGCAGCATGCTGACGCCTACATTCAAACATCGGAGGAGGATATTACCGAGTCGGAGTCAGAAAGCGACGAGTAGTGGTCTTTTGTTTTATCTGTGTACGCCAGAACTATCTCTGTATCTATTTTTATCTGAAAAAATGGCCGGCGGCGTCGACAACGAAGCAGGCGGGCGAGCGTGTGCTGTTTGATGTGGAGAGGCCAATCCAATGCGCCACCGATCAGCGGGCCCGGTGAGGAAAGAGGGCGAGCGCGCGCGTTCGTCTTGTGTCCGCGCCGGCGCAAATCCGGCTCAAAAATGGACCGGCAGGCGGACGAAAGCGGACGCGCGTCCGTTTAGGGCGATGCATTGGGCGGACTTTTTTGTCCGCGCCGACCCAAACGGACGACCGCGGACGAAATGGATCGCCCCATTGAAGTTGCTCTTGGGTTAACATCCAGTCCAGTTGGTAGATGAGATGAGATGAGACGAGATGGACTGCACATCCTCCATTTCTTCCTCTTCCTCTAAATAAATAAAAAGCAGAGCAGAGCAGAGCAGCCTCATTTCCCCCCTCTCTCTCTCTCACTGAGCAGCAGCAGGAGCAGTGCTCTGCGCTCTCTTCCTCCTCTCTCCCATTTTATTTATTTATTTATTTATTTTACCATATTTATCCTACCCTACCTCTCTGTCTAGCATCTCTTCTTCTTCTTCCTCTGAGTCTTTGCATTTGCTCCTGCTCCCGGCCGGATTCCAGCTCCCCCATCTAGGGAGATTGCCACTTTTTCTTGGACGTTTTTTGTTCTACCAGACATTCGGCTGGCGCAAGATCTGAACTGAAGCCGTCAAGAATCACCACCGGCGGCGGCAGCGATGAGGCCGGAGACGCGGCTGGACTCGGCGGCCTTCCAGCTCACCCCCACCCGCACCAGGTAACTCCCATACTATACGGATCTGCGCCGCCACCAAAGCTCTGCTCTTTCTGCTACACCCAACTGCCGTTATACTTGTACTAGATCCAATCCACCTTACTTTATCGCTGGATTTGTGCTCTCATTACTGCTGAAATATATCGCATTGCAATCTTCAGCCCCCTTTCCGTTTTTGTGTGTTCGTGCGTTCGTCTGTCGGCGGCGGCGGCAGCAGCAGCAACAAGAAACAATTTTTATGTTTCTCCCCTTATTTTATTTTATTGCAGGTGTGATTTGATTGTGATAGCGAATGGGAGGAAGGAGAAGATCGCCTCCGGCCTGCTCAACCCCTTCGTCGCCCACCTCAAGGCCGCCCAGGACCAGATTGCCAAGGGAGGCTACACCATCCTGCTTGAGCCGGATCCGGCGGCCGACGCGCCATGGTTCACCAGGGGCACCGTCGAGAGGTTCGTCCTTTATCTGTCGGTGTCTCGTCTTTGTCTGCCGGTTGCTGTCGGCGGCGGCGGTGTTAGTGTCTCATTTGCGTGGTTGCTTCTTGTTCGCATTAGGTTCGTCCGCTTCGTGAGCACGCCGGAGGTCCTGGAGCGGGTGACGACGATAGAGTCCGAGATACTGCAGCTCGAGGACGCCATCGCCGTCCAGAGCAACGAAAATCTTGGACTCAAATCTGTAAGTACACAATGGTAATCTGCAGTGTACTACTTACTTGACACTGACTGCAGAGTGAGTGATGACTTGTTTGTATGGCTCTGTGTTAGGAAGAAGGCCATAATGGGAAACCCGTGGACTCGTCCATGGAAGGTACAGGAGATACTACTACCGATTTCATTCCTGAACATTGCGTTGCGCAGTCACAGTATCCACGAAGAAATCTTCGGCAATGCTGATCCGTAATTGAAAAAAAATCCTCTGCTGTGCGTTGCTTTGAGTTTGGACCACAGAAACTTTTTGTATGGCGACCGCACCGCACCGCTGTTTTAGAATCTATCTATCAGTTATGGAATTTGGTGCGGTGTACCATCAGTCATAGCTGTTGAGTTAGCTAGCCAGTTAGGTGCATCATAGTGGACGCCTCAAAAGTATTATTAGGGTGGCTGTACCTGTACAGGGGAAGTGACAATGTGTCATGTTTGATTGACGGCCTATCTTTTATTCGTGTTTATGCATTGCGTTCTGTTTTACCTAACTTATATTGGAAGCTGATTATTCTGTAAGATGGATCTAACCATCATTAAGTGCGCAAGTTTTCAGGATAATTTACAACTACGTAAAGAAGATTCTGTGGGAATTATATATGTTTTTTCATGATAGATTGATCTGAACTGGAACATGATTTTGCATCCCTTCTTTCGTTGGTAAATTTACCTGACATGTCCCTTCACAGGTGGCAGGACAGGTTACAATACTGATGGTGATAAGGCACTTGTTCTGTACAAGGTAAGGTTGTATGGATAAATTAGAACTGCATTTATTTTCTGTAATAAGTGTGTCATGGTAAAAGGGAATCATAATTAACTCTGACGTTCTTGTATCAATGGCAGCCTGACGCACATCCAGCATCCGCACTGCAGAATGACGACGGAGTACATGAGGAGCATTCAAAGTATTTATATGCATAAGCCCCCTTTTCTCCATGATCTTTTCCTTGAAGACGTTTTATCTCACATTTCTGTCTTGTTTATATGAAAAATCTGCACTGCCATAATTCTTTTTTTCGTGGAGTAACATATGCTTTTGTCTAATGAACGATTGGCTCACACTCATTCTATTCTAAAATTCAGCTCTTTGTTTACTTTATCTCCACTTTTTGGTATGTTGTCTTGTTTTTTGGAATTTCTTTCTTGGAAGAAGTATTTATCTGCATCTTGGTGAGTTGTTAATCGAAATATATATTTTTACAATGTTTTGCAGAGTTCAGCTTCTCAGAGTGCTGGAGACTCGCAAAACTGTCTTACGTAAAGAGCAGGCTATGGCCTTTGCACGTGCTGTAGCTGCTGGGTTTGATATAGACAACCTGATATATTTGATCTCGTTCGCAGAGCGTTTTGGTGCTTCACGCTTGATGTAAGTACGGCCTTCTAATGAATAAAGCAGTATCATGCTTGATGTATCGGATAATTGATAATGTGAGCCTAAGGCAGATAATTAATTTGCGCCGACTCCGTATGATAACTGCATAACTTATTGCATTCCATTCTGATGCTAATTCTGACGCCATTTCAGATTGTTGAATGTTATTGCAATGCACAATTAGCACATCATGCTAGATAATGCACACAGTTCCATTGCTGTACAACTGTACTTGGTCCATGTCTTACTTTACTACTGCACTTGAACCTTTTCTTGATCAACTGGAACACACCTCCATTGATTGATCTCCTTGCCGTGTTTAACAGTTAGATCTAAGTAATTTCTGTAAGTGCATAAGCGCTAACTTCGTTGGTGTTCGCTATCAATTTATAGGAAGGCATGCACACAGTTCATTGATTTGTGGAGGCAAAAACATGAGACTGGACAGTGGATTGACGTTGAACCCGAAACAATGTCTACACGCTCTGAATTTCCCCCCTTCAATGCTTCTGGGATTATGTTCATGGGAGATAAGGAAACAATGTCTGTCTCTAATGGAGATACAAATGGGATTATGTTCATGGGAGATAAGGAAACAATGTCTGTCTCTAATGGAGATACAAATGGCGAAGATGCTGCTAAAGCTGGTATGTTGGTGCCATGACTTAACTTACTTACCAAATGCTCACTTTGTTTAGTATTTTATATCTTTGTAGTTGATAAGCGGATTTTGTTATCTGCATGATTGTTCACTTTATTTCTTCCATACCGCCACATTTTATTTTAAGTTTTTGTTACCTAAACATTGTGATCCAAATTATTCCTAATATACAGCCGCCTTCTGTTTATTTTTACATGGCAAATTTTCTTCCAATTTGAAATGGCCCTTTTGCTTGGTAATTGTGCAGCCATATTGAATTTGTACCATTTCTTTTGTCAATCCGCATGCACAATTAATTTGTGTTTCTCCTTTGTTTTACTGTGAGAGGGAACTTGGATCTGAGGAATCGTTTTTCCGTTGTTTGACAGATCACAGGGCACATCACCACCCAGGAGCTCCCCATGAGTACCATCATGGTCCATATCAATCAGGATATCCACCATGGGCAATGCATCCTCCTTACCCCATGCAAGGCATGCCACCATACTACCCTGGGGCGAACCCATATTACCCTCCTCCCTATCCCCCAGCAGATGATCCCAGGTACAACTACTCGGAAAGGAGACCATCAAGGAAGCACTCAGCAGATAGCAAGGACTTCGACAACTCCAATGATGAAAGTGACGATCAAAGCGGTTCAGAGAGGGAGAGTTCTCATGGCCGCAAGTCCAGTAAAAAAGGCAAGCGCTCGGGCAAGAAGAATGTAATTGTCATACGCAATGTAAATGTAACATCAAAGAAGAAGCATAGGTCATCAGAGAGCGAGTCACACTCAGGCTCAGATATGTCATCAGAGGATAGTGATGATTCACACAGAAAATCAAGCAAGAGGAATCATAAGCGCTCGAGTTCGAAGAAAAAAGGGGGCAAGAAAACCATTGAGTCTGAAGATGAGTACACCAAGGATGGAATGTCTAATGGGCAGCAAGATGGAGATCAAGGAAACTGGAATGCGTTCCAAAACTTCTTGCTCAGAGATGAAGAGAAGACAAGAGATAATAATGACGCGGATATGTTCGCCAGTGAAAGGGAGCCACCACCACCACCTAGGAGGAGAGAGACCACAGGAAATATGGATGATCCTATTCTTTTATCCGAGCGGGGTTCTGCTGATGCCGATGAGCGAAATGGAATGCCTTTCAACACAGCCAATGGGAGAATTAGGGCCAGGCAGATGATGTCTGGTAATGAACTTATGATGTCTGGGGAAGGTCGGAGCTTTGTGGATGGTGACATGAAGGAGATAGAAGCCGGAGGTGGGGGATACAGAAGAGGGGCAAATGATGACTTCATGGTTTATGGACATGACAACTCAATGGACAGGGGGAGCTCCTTGGACCCCCTTGCCGAGGGGCATTACAAGAGACCCACTCTGGAGGAAAAGAAGAATGTGCACGGTGTGGATGAGTCCTTCATGATACCTGTTAGCTCCAACTCACATGATAACCTTGGAGCTGACGGCCGTACTGCCATTGACATAGATGCTGAGCTTGGCACAAGTGTTCAGAAAACATCGGATGCCAAGGCTGGAGGTGAACTTTTCTATGAGCCAGATGAGTTGATGCCAGAGCGTGGATCTGAAGATGTTTCATTTGGATATGATCCATCAATGGACTATGATAGCCACATGCAGATTCATCCTGACGTCGGCGTTGAAGATGCAAATGCAGAGGATTTATCAGCTTGCGTCGAGGATGAAGGAAAGATGCCAGCAAAAGACAAGAAGCTTAGAGGTTCACAGGAGGGTTTGGATAAAAGAAGGAAGGATGCCTCAGCAAGGAGACTGTCAGCGCCCAAAGGCCCACTAACTGATGCGCAGAAACGTGCACAAAACCTACGCGCGTATAAAGCGGGCCTACAAAAGGAAAAGAAGGAGCTGGTAACTTTCCATTTTACCCATTGAATGATTTATACTTCACGAGACTTAATTTAC